CCCCAAAACCCCAAAACCCCAAAACCCCTGATAGAAATATTATAATTGAAAATGGTCAATTTACAGTATTTGATATTGATCCTTGTTGTAGCCCAATTTTTCAAGGATATCAATTCAATCATCAGTCATTTGATTACTTCCTGAGAGTAGGATGAGTCCTTCGGGATCATCTGGCTCAGGCATGAAGCTTTCGATAAGAGCTTCGCTAATTTTTCCTTCTCCATGTGTCCACATTTCATCTGGGGATTCTACCACTGGAAAGTAAGAAATTTTTCCACTCTCTTGCATTCTTAACAAATCATCTTCAAGAAGCGCATCAGAGGGGTTTCCATATAGAGAGACTAATGAGAAAGCAGTGAGGTCTACAGGATCTTCTTCAACAGCCTGCAAGAACTGGAACATTGCAGTAATAGAGGTTCCTTCACTAATAAGCCCGACTTTCTTAGCTATTTTCTCTTTCATGCCCTCATCTTCCGTACAAATTGAGAATTTACCTCTTCCCTCATATCACATGCTTCCTGCTACTTCTGTGAGATAAACCGGGTCGCCCTCCTTCAAGGCGTCAAGTCTCTGTGTGAACTCGCCGATGCTCCTCTGAGAATAGTCAGTGGAGAAGACCTTCACAAGGAGATCTAGGAAGCCATTGTCATGAATACTAGAAACAGGTCTATAGCTCCTGAAATCTTCGAGATCTGACAACTTGAGGGTGACATACTCGCCAGGCCGGAGGCCTAGCGGTTTGTTAATCTCTGGTAGCATAAACCTGAATATATTTCACTCTGTAGACACGTTTCCTTTATCCATATAAATTAGTTTCAATGGATCTGTAAACTTGACACCTTGCACTGGAACCCCAAGAGGGTTCTTCTGTGCGAACGTCTTGTACTGGGCCTTGTCTAAAGTTTGGATAATGCCTTTGAGGCTCGAGCAAGGAGCCACAGATGGTTTGTTTAGGACATATTTTAGATAACTCATTGAGCAAATAGGTTTGGGGTGAAATTAATTCTATTTTATCATATAATTTTGGGGTTTTGGGGTTTTGGGGTTTTGGGGTTTTGGGGTTTTGGGG